TAGGGATTAAGAGAGATAAGAGATGATTTCTAAAGAGGCACCCATGGTCCCCTTTTATACACACAAACTAGACTAAAGGACAAAAACATTGGAAAAGGAAATGTTCAACATGAAGGGACATAAAAGGAGACATCAACTCCATCACCAAAGGTCATCCAAAAAGTCTTCCAAAGTCCTTTTCACCAGCTGTGGAGGGCAAAAACCGACGGTTCTTTAAGCTAAGATTTACCTCCTTGACCATGGCTGAACTATTAAGGACTCCTCCAAAAAGCCGCACCGGGTCAGGTCAATGCTGTTGGAATGCTGCAGCATCATAGTGCAGTATTTGTAAGTTAAAGATGTCATCTACCCTCAAATTGTTGTAAAAACAAATCCATCACCACATTTAGCTCCAAACATAATAAATGGAAAATAAGGAAGTGAAAATGACTCAAGGTTGAGATAAACTAGAAGAATCTACCTATTAAACAAAGAAAATGGGTACTTTAAGCATGTAATAAACCATGCTTATCACTCCACCTACTCTCTCTCTCTCTCTCTCTCTCTCTCTTATTCACTTCCCAACCTCTCCCTCTCATTTTCTTTAAATCGGTGGTAACATTAGAGGCAAAGATCATTAAGTTTTTATACATTTACTCCCCACAAGATCCAAGGACTCAAGTGGATTAGTCAACCTTCAAGTCTTTATCTGGTTTTGGGATTTTTGCTTGATTTTCTAGGTTTCACTAAAAACCTAGCAAGTGAGTTCACATTCATTTTATTAAGCTTTAATTATGCCAAAAATCTTGATATTTTACCTCTTGGTGAAAATTTACTTTGAAATACTTGTTTTAACCTAATTTTATTTGACATATGGATGATATTAACCTAAGTACTTTTTAGGGATTTAAATTTGAAGATTACTTATGTATGCATCTAAGTTCCTCTATGGACATTATATGCTATGTGTCGATAAAACATCATTTGCGTATTTATCTTGGATATAACCACTTTTATTGCATCATGGTATATGTTGGTAAATATGAGGGTTTGTGTATGGGTAAATGGATTATGTACCCACGATGGAATTTATTATGTGGATAACATGTTTATAAATGTGCACATATGGTGATATTGGACCCTAATCCTTATGCATGAGGATTAGGTGAATTTTTTAGACAATTATGTCATATTGACTCTTTTGAATAGTTAATAAGTAGACACTAAAGGTCCATTGGATTCTTGAGGTGAAACTTGGCTAGAGCAATGGGTGGGCATTAAGATTCACGAGTCTCTGAGGTGAATTTTTTTGGAGTAGACACTAAAGATATGTGAGGGTTTGAGGTTACACCATGAATGGGGTGTGCACTAAAACCATGAACCTAATAATATAGTCCTATTAACATCATTATGTGGTAATATTTTTCTGTTCATGCCATCTTGATGGAAATGGGTCTCCCCTGTCATCAAGAGATGTTTCATGTGAATAATGTCCAGGTTGGGACAACTTGTTGTGGTGCATTGCATTGTACCACTGTTACATTTCAGGTAACACTTTGAACTACTCTTTTACCTATATTATGAGTTATTTAGTGTGATCTCACTAGGCGTTAAGCCTAACACTTGTTCTTAATTTTGTGCTTTTCAAGTCTCACTAGTGGTGGATCTATGGCTGACTGAGAGGCTTGGTTGGTGCTACTAGAAGCATTGGTAGCTATGAATCGTAAGTGTTCACACAGTAGGCACAAAGTCCCCACAGTGGCGGTGTAAGTGTACGCCGACATTATGATCGCTACAAGTAATAAAGTGATATAGTACCAAGATCGTTTTCACAGGAATTGGACTACCGAGAATCAAAGAGTCCCATAAACTTCTTGAGCATGTTTCACTTGTGAGTAAAAATCAAGTTTTTGTTGGTAGAAATACTTTAAAGACGAGATAAACCTTTTTTAATTAAAAGCTGGGTATGGGTGTTAGTTTTCCTTATGACAATTGTAGGAACAAGATGGTCAGAAACTCATGGAACTGCTATAAAAATTCCAATATTTTTAAGTGAATTTTCATATTCTGTGCTCATCAAGTGCCTAAAAAGTTCCCACTGTCACAGATTTTAAGCTTGCCGAATTAGTTAGGTGATAAAAAGATATCTAGTTCCACTAGTATAAAGATTTATACTCAAATCTCTTTGTAGTGTAAATCTCGACTAATATTTAAAACTTAGCTAAAAACATGCAAAATCCGTATCTCTATGTAATTATCAAAAACTTTCTCGAATCTTTGTGCATCACTTAAGTCGTACTTCGAATCCGTCTGTCTCTGGATCAAAGATCTAATATTAACACTTTAAAGTGATCAGCTTATTCACGTTGAGTTTAAGTCCCGACCTTAAGTAACCAGACTTAAGAATTAGTAATATTGGCAACACCCAAGTGTGCCTACTAGTCTTAAGTTTGACTCATACCCGCACCCAAAAGGGGTGATTAACTCATAATAAAACTAAAAAACATAGGAGAAGTAGAGAATTGCATAAAAAATACTTGTATTGAAATTTAACCAAAACTGTTGCCGCAATGGACAAACAGTGGACATAAACGTAATTGAAATTAAATACAGGATAAGAAGTAAATGCATAAAATTGAATTCTAACTATTGCTTTAAATCTTCAAGTTGAGAGTAAATGCTTGAATGAGATATCTTCAATGCTTCGATGATGCTCTTATTTATTAGGGGAGAAATAGAGAGATGAACATCCCTTTTACCCAAAGAAACAACCTTTCTACTTTTGGACAAAAGGTTTCATTCCACTTTTCTTTTAACATCTTCTAGATTTTCTTGTCACTTTTGAAAGGATGCAAAAGGGAGAGATGCACATCCCCTTGATTCAAGGAAAAAGTATTTTAAGTCATTTTTTAAACAAAAGGGTCCTTTTCTTTAGATTTATGATATCCCTAGATTTGGACTCTAGTTTTAAATCCCTTTAAATACCTAGAAAATAAGGTGCTTAAACTTATACAAAGTTGCCTTGAAAAATTAACATAGTGCGCAGGAAGTAGGAAGGCAGTGGGCATTGTCCAACAGTGACGGTTTTCAGAATAAAATCAAATTCTTAACGTTTCATCACCTCTTAAGAACATTTTACACCAAAAATATAAGATGGAGGCAAAATGATTACATAAAATACATAAAAATAAGACTATTAAACAATAAATAACCCTCAAAATTGAGAGTTATCAAGCATCAAGGTATAAAATTTTTGGGCAACACTTAGCGGAATTTGAATTTTTGGAGACATAGCAACACCCGACTGTAATCTAGTTTACTTGAGATTAGATTATGAGGTTGTTATTTATGTTTTAATTTTGGAATATTGTGCTTGATTAACGAACTTTCCCTTTAAGGGTTTTAAGCCGTTTTATGTTTATGAAAATTTCAAGTGGTATGAAAGGTATTATCTCGTTTTAAATTTTTGGGTGTTACAATTCACTCTTGCAATGATATCTCACCTTAATTAATAGGATTCTACCCGAATGCGTATGATAGAGATAAAGATCTATTAATGAACTTTAGGAAGACACTAATAAACTATGAATGCTTGAATATACTTGAACGACATTCATATATAATCTTCTCACTGCGGTGACATTGTGAGCACAGTCTCAAAGTGACGGTTTTTTTTGGAATAAATTCTTATTATTTATATTTCTTCATCTTTTTAGAACTTTTGGAATAAACATGAAAAAACAAGGGAAATTGGTTGTTTAAAAGAAGTAAAAGAGGGATAATAAATAAGAAATAACTCTAAAAAATGAAATAGATCAATAATTAAGAGTAAAACCAGAAAGTATGCACTTACTTTTTAAAGAGTGAGTTACATTAATGGTCCTTGTCGTTTGCTCAAAACTTGGATTTGATCCTTAAAACGAACTATTTACATAATAATCCTTAACTTTTCGAATTCATAACACTAAGGATCCCTAGAGTTAACACCGTCAACTAATAATCATTACAAGGGATAACAAAAAGGATAATTTGCTCTAAACTTAATTGTGATTTAAATCTTTTGTTATTAAAAAATATTTTATGCATAAACTTTTATTGGAAAGTATTTTTATTATAAAATATTCTTTATTAATTCTCTTTGCTCATTAGAACTTCACATTCATTTTCTTAATTCACTTAGGGTATTTAGGATTGCTTGTAAAAATAACTTATTGACTTATTTCGGTGTGGTATCGTTAATAAGCATATTTGAGTGTATGGATAAACAATTTATACTGGTACCAATTCGGTAATAAAAAGTTTTTGAAGAAGTTAAATCATTCTAACTTATAATAAGTTGATAAACACTTATGTAAAAAAACATAAGTTTGTTTCAAATAAGCAATCTCAAACACTTCTTTATATCACAATTAAGTTTTAAATTAATTATACTTTTAACTATTGTAGTTTGCACAAAGATTAACTAATCTTTTATGAAAGTTGTTAGAGAACTTGAATTTTATAAAATCCAAATTTTAAGCAAACTACAAAGATCAACAATATAGTTCCCTTTTTTGAAACTCGACAATTATTTTAGTTAACTTAAAATAGAAATATATATACTTATTTTTTGATACGGGAAGATATAAGATATATTTCAAATGCAATCATGTCTATTTGTATAACCAATGCAACCCAATCAATTGAAATATTTATGAAAATGATGAGAGTATATTTATTGTGATTTGAATATTTATAGAAGATTACTAGAATTCATTAATTATGAATTTTATATTAGAAAATAATCAAAACTTTGATGAAATTACATATTCATCAATTTAAATGGACGGTTAAGATTGAATTATATTTAGTTATACAAATGTTAATGTTTGGATAATAATTTAAAGATATAAGCTTAAATTTTAAAAAAGATGGCATTTTGTAAAGCTTTATTATTAAAAAGAAGAGAAAAACAACGTTTTACTTTGAAGTTGTCTTCAATTTCAGGGGTCTGTCTCTTGGCCTGAACAAACCCCATTCGTTGGAAGACGGACGGATCCGGCTCCCTTCTGAGGTCTGTTGAATTTTGGTTCTGATTGCATCAAAACAATGTCCGGTGGCAGCGGCGGTGGCGGTGGTCCTTCACTCATGGACTCTCTCTTCCAACGCACCCTCGACGACCTAATTAAAGGCATCCGTATCCATGTTCCCGGCGCCGCCCAATCCACCTTCATCTCCAAATCTCTCGACGAGATCCGCCGCGAGATCAAATCCACAGACTTGCAAACCAAATCCACCGCCCTTCAGAAACTCACTTACCTTCACTCCCTTCACGGCATCGACATGTCATGGGCTGCTTTCCACGCCGTTGAACTCACCTCCTCCCCCTCTTTCATCCACAAGAAAACAGGTTACCTCGCCGCATCTCTTTCCTTCCGCCCTTCCACCGACGTACTCCTCCTTCTCACCAACCAGCTCCGCAAAGACCTCTCTTCCACCAACCAACACGAGGTAAGCCTTGCCTTAGAGTGCCTTTCCGTCATCTGCACGCCTGATTTTGCGCGTGATTTAACTCCGGATATATTCACTTTGTTGGCGTCTAGTAAGAATTTCATTAGAAAGAAATCAATTGCGTGTTTATTGATGGTTTTTAGCCAATATCCTGATGCTGTTAGGGTGTGTTTTAAGCGGTTAGTTGAGAATTTAGAGGGTACTGATAATGCTCAAACACTTGCTGCGACTGTTGGGGTTTTTTGTGAGCTTGCCAGTAAAGAACCTAGATCGTATCTCCCTCTTGCACCAGAATTTTATAGGATTTTAGTTGATTCCAGGAACAATTGGGTGTTGATCAAGGTTCTGAAAATCTTTGCTAAACTTGCTAAATTAGAGCCTAGGTTAGCAAAGAAGGTGGTTGAACCGATTTGTGATCATATGAAGCGGAGTGAGGCCAAGTCCTTGGTGTTTGAGTGCGTGAGGACTATTGTGAGTAGCTTTTATGAATACGAGTTTGCTGTGAAACTTGCTGTAGCGAAGATCAGAGAGTTCTTGTTGGATAGTGATCTGAATCTCAAGTATCTTGGATTGCAAGGGCTTTTGCTTGTTGCACCAAATCACTCATGGGCTGTGTTGGAGAACAAGGAGGTAGTAATAAAGTCATTGAGCGATGTTGATCGAAATATAAAGCTGGAAGCTTTGAGGCTTGTGATGTCGATGGTTTCTGATGATAATGTGGTTGAAATTTGCAGGGTTTTGATTGGTTATGCACTGAAATCTGATCCCGAGTTTTGCAATGAGATTCTAAGGTCCATGTTATTGACTTGTTCTAGAAATGTTTATGAAATTATCATTGATTTTGATTGGTATGCGTCACTTCTCGGGGAAATGGCGAGGATTCCGCATTGCCAAAATGGAGAAGAAATAGAGTACCAGCTGATAGATATTGGTATGAGAGTGAAAGATGTTAGACCAGAGCTTGTTCGTGTTGGTCGTGATCTACTGATTGACCCAGCTTTGCTAGGGAATCCTTTCATTCATAGAATATTATCTGCGGCTGCTTGGGTGTCAGGGGAATATGTTTGGTTTTCAAGGAATCCATTTGAGATCATGGAAGCACTACTACAACCCCGCACTAATCTGTTGCCCCCATCCATAAGAGCTGTATACATTCACTCTGCCTTTAAAGTACTGAGCTTTTGCCTTCATTCTTTTCTCTTGCCCAACAAGACTGCAAATTCTCTTTCAAAATTTGCTGATATGGAACCAGATTTCATATATTCAGAATCTGAAGGGGAATTTCCAGAAACATCAGGTTTAAGACCGCATCAGGAATTTAACCCCAGGGATTTAAGTGAAAAAAATGCAGATAATGCTACGATTTCTTCAAGTTCGCTCAAGAACGATACTTTTACACGGGAGTCTGTTGTTAATATGTTGACTCTTATTCTAACATCTTTAAGCCCATTGGCCGGAAGCCATGATGTTGAAATAGAAGAGAGAGTGAGGAACCTCTTTGGTTTAGCTCAGTTGGCACAAGAAGAGATATGTTGTCATGATGATCGCAAAGAAATGATGGTTGATAGGGATGATCTAAAAACTTCTATTATCATCAGATTAATCAATGATGCACTCTCGGAGGATTTTGGTCCAGTTTCATTGAGTGCTCAAGAGAGGGTTCCTGTCCCAGATGGGTTAGTGCTCGAGGAAAATCTTAGCAAGTTGGACATTATATGTGCAGATGTTCAGTTACCGAAAAGTAAATCGTTTTCCCTTGTAAGGCCTAGTCTCTTGCAGATGGATGGTGATTTTGTTTCTAGTCGGCAGAATGAAGAAGAATCTGAAACATCTGCTGCTGAATCCACGTCCCTACTTTCTGAACATCGAAAGCGACATGGGTTGTTTTATCTTCCTTCTGATAATAATCAAAATGCATCCACAGGCTTCCAACCTGCCAATGATCCTAATCAGAAAGATAATGATGTGGAGGATCTGGTTAAGCTGACAGAAGAATCTCTAGTACTAAAGAGGAAGTCAAATCTAGCTAGGCCAAGGCCTGTTGTAGTCAAACTGGATGAGGGAGGGAGACTTCCTATCACAGTGAAGAAAACACAATCAACTGACGATTTGATCTCTGGAGCTGTGCGAGATGTTCTTTTAGGAAATGAAGCTTCATCGCAGAGCAATCAGTCAGGTAAGCCATCAAGCAGAAGAAGGGGCAAGGCACTTTCCAAAGTTGATCAGGGATCTGAATCCAACAATAACATGGAGAATTTTGAAATTGGTAATTCCAGTAAAAGAAGAAGCAAACATCGTATTCATGGTAAAGACAAAAAGCATCCAAGTCCAGGTAATGATGTTGAGGGAAGAGATGAAAATGGTGAAGTAAATAAGCAGAAAAGTGGTAGCCGCCATGGCAGGCATAAAGCTAGGCAAAGAGCTGATGGAGGCATCAATGTGGTTGTTCAAAAACCAGTAATACCTGATTTCCTTTTATAGTGTTTCATCCAACGTTGCCGTAATTTTATTTGCATAAATTGAGATGATATTTGTCTTATATCATTCTACTAGGAGCACCAAGGTCAGTTTACTATTAGAGTTGTACTGTTTCATGTTGCCGCTGTATGCTTGTATACTTTTTCTTTTGAAAATATGACCTGTGGAGTTGGGGATGTTTGTGGCAGTGTTTTTGTTGATTGATTTGATTGTAATACATTATAATGAAATAGTACCATTTTTTCCTCAGTATATTGCATATCTTCTTATTTGTATTTAAGCATGACAAGACCCACGTTGCTAATATAATCTTAATTCTCCTTATATTTTTGTTATATTACATGTTTTTTCTCACTATCTTTTTCTATGTTCCATGTTTTCGATAATTCCTTCTCCTTTTGTGTTAATTGTATAGATGGACGTCCTAAATAAATAAGTCAACACTTTATTGATCTGTGGCATAAATTTGTATCTAGCACAGTTTTTCGAAGCAATTCTTGTAAATCTTGAATAGTGTAGCATGGCAAGGACCTGATGATGATTTTATCTTTCTTGGCATGGATGTGATGATTTTCCCCATTTTGTTAACAATTTGCACTCAGAAGATGCAGATGTGTGTGGCAAGATTGCATTTTGTTTTAGGACATGGGAACTGAGGGTTGTAAATTCTTTACAAGTCATTCATAATGGCAAATTAGAGAAATTATGTTCAAGGTAAACCTTACTTTCATGTTATGCAAATTGAACAATGGTTTTAGTAGTTCTGTTCTATTTGTAGCCAGTTACGTGAAAACAATCAGTGCCCTGTAGATGTAACTCACAGGCTACAGAAACTACATAGATGATTTATATAGACTATAGTAGTACTCGAAGCAAGATATAGTTCAATGCCAAAATCTTAAGATATTTTTGCGACACTGGACACAGGATTAATCCATTAGGTATATATGTAAATGCATCTATGCATTCATGCATGGATGATCGTTTACTTTCTTTCAGCTGTAATTTATATTTTTATAGGTATAACGTAGAAAATCTGTTTGTTAGATTTTTTGGTCCTTAGATGGATCTGGGTGACAGAAATTCTACCATATATGGGTGAGTGGCTTCTCTCATGCGTCAACTTAGAGATTGATGTGGCTTTGTTTCTATTATAAGGCCTCTGCTAAGACAGTTTTGATTCATCTAGCTGTCTCTAATATTTGAAGTGTAGTTCAATACAGCAGTGCATGCCTTTTATGTTTTTCTCTTTTTTATTATTATGTTTACAGTTTCTAGTATACTAACCTTGTATGATAAACCGAAAAGAACATATGTTCTACTTGATCTTAAGCCGAAAGGCTGAGAAAGATATACCTCTCTTGTATGCTCTTCCTTTTGCCAACATATATCCTTTTCTCTTTGAAAAATGATATTAACACCACCACCGCCGCCACCACAGCAACAGCAACAACAAGCCTTTTATTGCAAGCTAGTTGGGGTGGGCAAAAAATGAAATCAGGAAAAATATAGTGTGGTGCAACCAAAAATAAGACGTGGTTGTTGGTTATGTAGCGGGTATTATACCAAATCCTTTCTCTGAGGGGTTAGACTGCATAGTCTAATGATTACTGGTCTAATATATTGTTCCCAAAAACCGAAGAGTCAAAGCCCTCTTAGGTTCGTCCGTCCAACACCAATTCCTTTATACACAACTTGTGAAAATACATCACTACTTCTATCACGTCAACCTTGGTGGAACTCACAAGCTGTATTGGTACAATTCTCGTCGTTTAGTACAAACAAAGACATGCTCTTCCGAAAGGAAGATACTTGAACCAAAATTGGAAACAGTAACTTCATGGAAAAGAATAAAGGTGTCAAAACTAATAGGAAATGAGCAAGATGTGATGACTACAAGGTGCAAAAGTTCCTGCAAGGATCCAATATGCAGATTTGTTGATATAGGCATGGTTTTAAAAAATTGTTGAGGCGTGCGCGCCTCAAGGCGAGGCGGACAAAAAAAGTTCTTGAGATGTCACCTCTCACTCCTTGTTTGGGACGCACGCTCTGCAGAGTAGAGGCGGTGGGTTTGGCTGCGAGGCAATAAGTGTGAGAGGCGTAAGCTTGTTTAAAGATGAGTTGAAGTGTTTCTATACATAGTGTGTAAGGGTTGTTTGGTAGTTGCAGAATGGTTTGGTGCAGAATGATTAAGTGGTCAGAATGATTAAGAGGCTCTCATGATATAGTGCAAAATGTAATATAATTTTTTTGGTAATTGTTTACAATAAAATTAGGGCGCTGAATGGTTAAGAGAGGCCCATGATGCAAAATCATCCAGAGGATTTTAGAACCATTAAGAGACAGACTTTTTTTTTGTCAAACAAGATTCACCTTTTAACGGTTCAGAGGCCATCTCTTAATGGAACCATTAAGAGATAAACAAACAACCATCAAAGTTTTGTTAGTTATTGTGTCATATCATCCAGCGTATTCTCTCACAGCCTCAGTTTCTGTATTTGTTGTTAGTGGTAGTGTCAGAAAAAAGTATCCCGCTTTGAAAAACATAATATATATATATATATATATATATATATATATTATTCCTTACTTATCCAACTCTCTCTCAGTCCCACCGGTGGTAGTGGCAGCTCAGCATATATATATTTGTGTGTATATATAGTTCGGTGGTAATGGCAGCAGCTCAGCATAATATATATGTGTGTAATAATCTGGTGGTAGTGGCAGCCTAGCATAGTGCATGGTGGTGGTGCCAATGTATAACATATTCGCTCTCTCTCTCTTTCACAGTTCCACCAGTGATAGTGGCAACCCAACATGGTATATAAATATGTTGTCTGATGATAGTGGCAGCCTCTAGCAGTGTATATATATGTAGTGCACGGTGGTAGTGTCAATATATATATATATATATATATATATATATATATTGTGTGTGTATATATAGTGTTTATGTATTATCGTCTAGTGATTGTAATTTGTGTATATATGTTATTTTGAATTTTATTTATTTTCTGCCTCGAGCTTACGCCTCAGACCGTGAGGCTTACGTCTCACGTACCTAAGGGGAAAACGCCCATAGGCTCGTTCCCATACTTTAAACCTTGGGATATAGGCCATCATATAAGGTATTTTTACCACCACCTATGGCATGGTGGTTGTCTTGTTGCTGCCACCAAGACTTTTGTCTGCTATCTCTTGAGATTTAGGTGGCATTTGGTTTGGAGTCAGGAATTGCTATGGAGTTGGATGGTAGGCTGCAATGCAGATGAGTATGATTACTTGAAAACTGTTGTTTGGTTTGTGCATTGGGTTTGGGTATCATTCCTAAACCTGATGTTATATTTAATGCAGTAAAGTGTGAATACAAAGTTCTATGAAACACCATTCTCATCCTAATTAATTTTCTGAAATAAATAGATAGAAATTTTTAACTTCAAGTATTAAATTTCATCTCTATTTTGCTTCTATTTGCTCTCTCAGGCCCAACCGCAACCACAAGCCCACAAATTTATTCTACATATTTGAATCGTAAAAGCACCCATATAGACAATTTTAGCCTAAAATATGTAACTTACATAGTATCAATTGAACAACCAAAGTAACTTTCTTATATGGTGACATTAAGTACAAAATCAAAGGCTATGCCAACACAAAAGAATTTATATTGGAAAGTAAAGAAGGCAACAAGAAAAGAAACTTAAACAAGTTTGTACACTATGTTTGCTCCTATATGTCTTCTAACCTTTCACAATGACCTTTTCATTTGTGTTGTAGTTCATGAATGTTTATCTTCTAATCTCAGGCATGGATCAACAACTAAAAGTGAAAGAATGAATAGGCCTGAGACTACAAGTAGCCAGTTTGTTTGTCATCTAGAATATTGAGGTGGCTGTGGCTCTATATAGGATCTGGATATTTTCTTCATCTCTAATAACCGTTGAGTAAATGCTTCATATACCTATATAATAGAAGGTCGTTGCGAAAGGAATGGTGCTGCTAATGGGAATAGACCTTCAAGTAGGTGATATATAACCTACAAGAATCCAAACCAAAAGTTGAAGCCAACAACGAAAATTCCAAGATACAAATTTGAGATGAATAATATCGATGTAGTAGTTCATCTTACAACAATAACCAACATATTTCTTCAATGTACTACCAGCTGATGTCTTCAGTGATCTCAGAAGGCAATTAACTACATATCAAAATTTGACTCTAAAAAGACAAAATATAATATCTATTTTTGGAATGGCCTTGTTCAATCATTAATTCGATCGTCTGTTGTATTCATCACCACAGGGCATAGAGGGGGAAGTCATAAGCATCTATACCGTACAATAGATTTTTGACGGAATGAAAAACACATATATGATAGAATCGTAACCATAGAATACGACCCAAAATGAAATGCTTACATTTGTCTCATACAGTACAGGGATGATCAGAAGAGATGCATTTTACATCGTGGGGCCTATAGTTTTTGTTACATAAGTTCGTACAAAAATGGTTAGAGGAGATGTATTTTACATCGTGGGGCTTATAGATTGTTTTTGTTACATAAGTTCATACAAAAATGGGCATGCCCTACTTTTAAGGGTGCGTTTGGTTTGCGGGATTGGAATGGAATTGGGGGGATTTGGATTTGAAATCCATTCCAATCCTGTGTTTGGTTTGCCAAATTGTCAGGATTTGAAATCCTGGGATTTCATTAAAATCCATTACACGCGGGATTTGGAAATCCTTTGCAAATGGGCAGGATTTGAAATCCATCGCTTCCTGTCGAGTGCAAATCAGTCATCCCTCCCATGGCTTCCCGCTTCCTGTAGAGTGCTCCCATAGCTTTTCCTCCCATGGCTTCCCGCTTCCTGTCGAGTGCTCCCATGGCTTCCCGCTTCCCGCTAATCAGTCCTCCTCGTCGGTGCTCCCTTCCCGTCCCCTTGCGAAGCTGTGCCCTAATCGGGTGAACCATCCTTTTGCTTCAAGTCTTCAACTGTCGTCTCTGCCTCCACTTCCTTACCACGCAAACATCTCTGTCGGATTTCCACATCGACGATGACTCATATCCTTTCTAGGGTTTTTCTGGGTTTCGTTTTTATTTTTTCCATGTTCATTGATTGTGGTCTCGATCTGATGCAATTTGTGCATCAAATTGAAGTCCAAATCATTTTTGTGTTCTAAATTCGTACTCGCATATGTTTGGATTTTTGGGTTAATGGATTTTTGGGTTCATCTCTGTTGCTTGCCAAATCCTGCAAACCAAACAAAGGAATGGATTTTAAATCCA